GCTAATATAAAGCTAACCATTTTTTTAATCAGCAGTTACTGCAGCAGCAGCATTAAAAAAAAACTTTTGTCACCTAATGTTTGTCGAGAATCAGGAAACACTTTTCTGGTTTCAACTTCTCGGAAAAGTCCGGTTATTGTTTAAGTTCCAATTGTTGGGTACTAATGAAGGCGTTGTTAGCGATGATGATGATGATATAGCTGCTGCTGTTGTTGCTAGTGGTGGCGGTGTTGTTATGAAACCTGTTTTTTTTCTTCCTTTAAAAAAAAAGCTTCTGTTGCTGACAATCTTAAATTTTCTTCTATCATTGTCAATACCACCATCAGCAACACCGCCAACACCGCCAACACCGCCAACACCGCCACCACGGCCTTAACTGCCACCATCGCCACCGTCATCACCGTCAAACATCGCACATTAAACAGTATCATTTGTTGTTCGTTCACTGACCTGTTTAAAGCGAACATTGAGAACATTATTTCAATAAAAAGAGGGCTAAAAAATAGTATTTAAACTTTAAAAATCTTATCGCCTTTGTTTTTTAAACATCAAATGAATCAAAAAAAAGGAAAGAAAAAACAATGCAAAGCTCTTATTTTATTAACTTTCCTTCTTTATTTTTGAAGGCAATAAATGAAATAAATAAACTCACTGTTAGTTGTCTTTTACCTTAATTCTTCTTTTTGTGCTTTTTGCAGAATGAACTTTTAACACCAAAATCGCAATCTCCACAAGTTGACGATGATCGTCGTGCTCATCACAACGAACTTGAACGCCGACGACGAGACCATATCAAAGATCACTTTTTAGCACTGAAAGATGCAATTCCGTTGTTAGAAGGTGAAAAGGTACTGTGCGTTCACTGCCACTTTTTTTCAAGTATTTTCTATCCTTAGAATTTACTTTTATCATGTCTCATTTTTTTTTTGGTGTTTGAAAAAGCTGGTTTTTTTCTACAAATTTTAAACATCAAAAAACACTGGTACAATTTTGGTATGCTCAATAGTACACTAAGCTTTAGCATAACGTTTCTTTTTTTAGTAATAGTGTTGACGACCACTTTGTCCTCTCATTTGTCACCTAACTATTCTTATATCTTTGTCTCTGCTTCCATTTCACTTGGATATATTCGTCTTTGAATAATTAAAAGGAAAAAGATGTTTTTTTGCTTACAACTATTCATATGTAAATGAAAGAAACCATAAGTTATGTTACAGTGATTAAATCTGAAATTTTAAATTAACACGCAAATTTTCAGGTTTGGGGGGTTGAGAAAAAGCCACTTAAAAAGCCACCAAATAAGTTAAAATTAAAAGTAACAGTTGCAAAATTGTTAGCAATCGAGTGGATACGTTCGTTGTGTTAGTGAATTAAACCACTAATAAAACTTTATACAACTTTTGCTTTTCCCATTTCCTTCTCTTCCACTACCATCTGAAGCAGCTCCTTTATTCATCTTCATTTATCTTCTTTTCTCCTCTCCTTCTGTCTGTTCAAAATTCTCATTAGGCTGCAAAATTTTTACCAGTTTTTAGGGCCTCTATTGCCTTTAGCAGTAAAATACTTTTTTAAAAAATTTTTACAAAACATAAGTTTACTTTTCTTCTTTTCTATTTTTTACTACTTTTTTTTTTTGCTATTTGCCAGAAAACTGCTGCTATTAAACAATTTGCAAGCAAAGTGGGAAAAAAAACGACAAAGAAGCAGGAAAAAAGAATTTTTTGCATTAATTTTTCAGTCATCAAGAGCTTCAATATTGAAACGTGCTGTGGAATACATAATGATAATGAAGAAACAAATATCTGAAGATCAGGACGATATCGAAAAGCTTAAACTTAAAAACGAACAACTGGAAGCTCAAGGTTTACTATTTGCCTTTCTACTTTTTTTTACACAGCATTTCAGTTTGTATTCCATCTATTAATTCTTCTCTCTATTCTTTCAATACTACTTTTTTCTCAATAATGTAAATACTATAGAGTATTGTTTTGAGTACTTCTTTTTTTGTTACCTAATTTTCTGTTACAGTTATTTGTTTTCACGTTTTTGTATTCGTTTCTTCATCTAAAAAAATGTTTAATGTTTTCGGTTTTTTTATTCTGTTTCCGTTAACTGTGTGTTATACCGATCACAGAGATCATCAGTTCACAGTGCTCAACAAAAGAGTGATGGTTGTTAATAGAGAAATATTAAGGTTTAGAGAATAGGAATGGTTATTTGTGGTTATTCATCAGCAGTTACCAATGTCAAATAACCAACTTTGCCACAACCAACGACGGGAACAGTTCTAAAAAATTTGACTTGCTTTAAGTTACACTTCACATTTCTATTTCTCAAACTCAAAAAACATGTATATGGTGCGGAAAAAAAGAGTTCCATAAGTTTTCTGAAGAATTATAAAATAAAATTTTTTTCACAAAATTCAAGCTTAGATTAAATTTTTTAGTAATCCTTATGATAACAAAAGGAAAAGTTTGGAAATGAAAAGAAAAAAACAGAAATTTTTTTTCTCGGAAATTGTTTAATTGAATGCAAAAGAAACTGTATTTTCAACCTTTACAATTTTTGTTTCTTTTTCTTCCCTTTCACGCCTAAAAAACTGTCAAGAAATGGATGGAAATTTTGACTGCTTTGCTTTCTTCTAAATTTATTGCACATTTTGCATCGTCACTGTCACCGGTCTATAAAAGCAGTATAAATTATGGTTTCAAAAAACTTACACATATACGTATTTGAACAATTGTTGGAAAAGAGCATTTGTCTTTCTCTCGTCTAACAGTTTCTGATCATTACGGTTTGATTAGTGGACGTAAGGAAATACTTTTCTCTTTTTTTTGAAGAGCTTCAAAATCATTAGAGTTTTTTAAAGTTTTTAAGGTTTTAAAGTTTTAGTGGTTTTTTTCCCCATACCTCCACAGCTTTATTTTTCCAGATGATCTGATAAGCAAGGCCAAAAAAAGAAGCTACACTTTTTTCTCCCCTTTTTCTGCAAGTTTTTTCTCGCTACTAAACCTCATGAGAATTTTCTTGATCAGCGACCAACAAAAGCAGCAAATCTAACCGGGGAAAAGCAAGTAAATAAATAAGGATTTTGTTTGCAAAACAAAAAAAAAAAACAATTTTTTTGCATGATGCAAAGAATTGAGGAAGAAGAGGAAATAAAAGCATTTTTCTTGTTTTTTTTTTTTTTTTTTTTTTTTTTTTTT